TCCTATCACAAGAAAACCACCCAATCTGCTTCGCTAGCAGAACCCTTAATAATCATGAATGCAATTACTCTACTATAGAGAAGGAACTTCTTGCCATAGTATGGGCCACTAAATATTTTCGGCCATACTTATATGGTACAAAATTTTTAATAAGAACAGACCACCAACCCTTAAAATGGTTGCATTCACTAAAAGAACCGAACGCCAAACTACAAAGATGGCGAATCAGATTAAACGAATACGACTTCGAAATAGACTATGTAAAAGGAAAAGAAAATCGTGTTGCTGATTTTTTAAGTAGAATGGATTCTACAAATAATGAAATTAATCATATAGATGACCCTAACGAAACACCTTCTAATAATTCAGTTATAACAACAAACCATGGTCGCCATGAAAATCAATTCCCAACATCCGATATAATAATTAATAAATATTTGACGCAGCTTTATTTGACAAAAGAAAAAGAAAGGAAAATAATTATAAAATATAAAAAATTTAGACAAATCTTTATTAGTGAAAATGAAATCAATAATGGCCATTATTTAAATGACATACTTAGACGATTCATTAGAAATGGAATAAATGCTATCTATTCCGAATTAAATGATGAAAAATTTGATATAGTAAAACAGAAACTCACGGAACTCTTTTCTAATAATAATAAAATGAAATTCATAAAATGTACTAAAAAAGCAATAGACATAGAAAATGAAGAAGAGGCTTTAAAATTAATAGAAAAAATTCATAAAGAATCAAACCATCGAGGTATCGTTGAAAATTATACAGAAGTGAAAGATGAGTTTTTCTTCCCTAAACTTAAGGAACTATTTCATAAGTATATAAACAGTTGCGACATATGTAATCAATCAAAATATGATCGCAAACCAAATAAATATAGATTCGAAATTTCCGAAACCCCGAGCTCTCCTAATAAAATAATACACGTCGATTTATTTTTCTGTTATAAGGAAATATTTCTTACAATAATTGACAAATTCTCAAAGCATTTAATGGTCCAACGTCTTAATGACCGAAATGCAACTACTATTATACAAGCACTTCGCAACAGGTTTGCACTATTCGGTAGGCCAGATAAAATCGTTGTCGACAATGAGTTCGATAGTCTTAATATCAAAAACTTCTTTAGAACAGAAAATATAAACGCTCACTTTACGTCACCCAGAAGCCATACCGGAAATTCTACAATCGAACGAGCTCACGGAACTTTAAGCGAACACCTTCGTATCTTAGATACACAAAAATCACATTTAACACCGTATGAAAAAATATTATTCGCAGTCGAAAAATATAATAATTCCATTCACTCTGTAACTAAAGTTAAGCCTATAAACTTTGTAAATAACGAAATAACCGATATTGAAAAAATTAGAAAATTAATTGATGAAAATAAACTTAAAACGATTGAAAAACTAAACAAAGATAGGATAGACCCTGACTATAAAGAAGGAGACAAAGTTCTTGTAAAAAATCCCGAAGCTCTAAGATATAAACATAAAAAGAAATATACGTATATTAAATCTAAATTAATTAACGGTAAATTAAAAGATAACCAGAATAGAAATATTCACCCAAGTAGATTAAAAAGAAATTTTAAATTTTCCTCAGGTAACCCAGAAACGGACTCCACTCAACCACTACCACAACAAACTTAAATTAGCACTACTAATTTTACTCCTCACTTCAAATACTTGTTCTGCAAATATTGACGTTCGGGTATTGGAAAATCGGGGTGGATTCCAACTAATCAAACGGGAAGAAATTCCTATAATTCAAAACTATTCTAAAATTCTTCACTTTATAAATATTAGCGAACTAGAAAATACTTTAGCACAAATTGAAAATAATATTTACAACACTTTTAACCAAGACAATACCACATTAAAACAATTACAAATTCAAATCGAAAAAACTCGACATAACATTAAAACATTACTACCACACAGACAAAAACGAGGACTCATTAATTTAGGTGGCAAAATTTTAAAATGGTTATTTGGAAACTTAGACGATGATGACAAAACTGAAATTGTAGAAAACATAAAACTTATTGAACAGGGAAATTACAACTCCATTCAGACCATAAATAAACAGATTAAAATAAACGACCAATTTCAGAAAAACCTAAATATTCTACAGAAACGAATTAACGAAAACCAAGAAATTTTAAATATTACACTGAGAGAACAAAACAACACCTTTAGCAAAAGCATAAAAAGTTTACAGTTTCTTTCTAGTTACACAAATATTAACTTACTAAATTCAGAAATAGACAAAGTCCAACAAAACATTCTTTTCGCTAAACATGGTATCATGACTCACTCCATTTTATCCAATGAAGAAATTGATGAATTTGAAATCGATGTTTTTAAATATAAAGAAATAAAAAGTTCACTTATTAGTCTAGATAATAATATTATTTTTGCCATTTTGATTCCTAACGTTGCAAAGGAACTTGCAGTTGGATATAAAATTATTCCAGTACCTAACAAAAATTTCGAGGAAATAAACATTGAATCTACTAATATATTGAAATTTAAAAATGAAATTTACTTTAATAATAAACAGAATTGTGAAAATAAACTAAAAGTAATAAATGGTTGTATAAAAAATTTAATGAATAATAATTTTAAGAATTGTACAAAAAGGAAAAATATTAATTTTGAGATTGTGGAAGTTTCATCTAATATTATCTTAGTAAAAAATGCAAATAATGTAATGTTAGAAAATACTTGTAATAACATACAATACAAACTAATTAAAACTAACTTAATTACATATTATAATTGCACTATAAAAATAGATGACGTAATATTCAAAAACATAGAGAGAAAAATTAACAACCACATAATAATACCAAACTATTTAGAACCTTATAATGTTAGTTATATACCAAATTTAGAAAATATTAATTTGAAGCAAATTGAAAATTACAATGAAATAGAATTTGTAAAATTTGAAATTAAAAACCATTATATTTTAATACTGTCAAATATCTCTATTGTATTGCTTTTAATAATTTTTATTACAAAATACTATATGAAAAAATTTTATAAATGTAAAAAACGGCCAAACGATACAAATGAAAATAATAGTAAAGGAAATATAATCTCTGGAGCTCAGGAGAGCTTCCAGCTTAACGAGGGGGGAGTTATATATTCGCTTACGCCCGGAACACCAAAAAATAAAATTTAACTATAACTAAAATTAAATCGAACGTTGCGATCAAATTTCCATACTTTATTACTTAAACCTATTCTAAATCATTTAATCGCAACGTGATTTGACAAAAACAAAATATTTATTTTAAATTAAAATTAAAATTCAACGTTGCAATTAAACTCCTATATGAAATCATTTAATTGCAACGTGATTGAACTTTTACAGACAAAACTAAAGCAAAGTTCCAAATATTCAAATTACAATATTAAAACTTTCCCATGAGAATTATTCTAAACAATTTTTTGCTTACTAAACAGTTATTTCTTATAAATAGAGTAAATTCAATAGCAGCTTTGCTTGGTTGGTAATTCAGTAGCTCGTTAGTTATTAAATCGTTTTGCCGTTTAGAAAATAAAGATTTAAAAATAAAGTTAATAAGTTTGGAATTAGAAATTAAAGTGTAATTAATTAATAAATGAAATAAAAAGAACTTTTATAAATCTTAAAATATTTTTTTTGTGTAAAGTAAAAACTTATAATTTAATTTGTATGTATGTACATCTATTATGAAAATTGTACCTTGCACATATTTACTTAATAAAATCCTTTTCCTCCAATTGCCAACTTATAATTTTTGTAAATTTTATTAAGTATTCATAAGGTTTTTTTAATTTTCCGGTATATTGTAAAAATCTAAACTTTTCATAGTTTGTAGGCATTAATTAAATAAATAGTTTATTTCATTAGAACGAATTTTAAAAAGGACGTTTATCAGTTTTTAAAAATACAAGGATCTAATAGTGAATGTTTGGTGTGAGCATGGTAGTAAATATTTACCTATCATGAAATGTAATTGTTGGTTTTAAGGGACTAGTTTTCTAATAATCGCTTAGTTAAACTGTTTTATGTTCTCATACTAACTAGTAATGTGTAATGAATATTGAAAATATCATGTTCCCTCATAGACTAACGTTCATGTTCCCTCATGTTCCCTCATAGACTATAAGAGAATAGACTAACAGAGTATGTTAGGGAAACCTGTTGCTTTACATTTATTTGATCCGATTTTACTAATATAGAAATCAGTTTAAACTTCATTTAAATAAAATTGAAAATAAGTATTGAATCATATCTTTCGGAAGCTTTACTGTTTTTCTTTAACTACTAAATTAAAATAATAATTTTATTATTATAATATTACGTATTTAGATGTATAGAGTGTTGAGCCATACTCTTCTATTCTCTTTAGGACAACAAAACAATTTAATTTTTAAACTAACTGATATTTTTCAATATTATGTTAAATATGTGTACCTGATTAAAATTTAAATAAAATATGCAGAAAGAAAAAAAAATAATCCTGTTCTTTATTTTAATTTTTTTTTGTATTAAAGTTATATCTACCTACATAAGTATATATATATGTATATATACTTATTCATAATTTTGTATGATCTTGTATTTTGTGACAAAAAATTGACGAACGTAGAGAAGAAAATGTAGCGTGAAATCGATCTACATTAACCAAAAAGTTTTTATCATTTTTAATTGTAAACTTCAATGAATTATAAAAAAGAGGAGAAACTGTACGTATGTATATCGAATTAAAAAATAGAAAATATAAGAGATGACGATATTCTAATCATTGGAAAATTAAGAAATTTAAGTGTTTGACTATTAGTACAGAATTCAATGGTGTAAAATTGATTAAATTAAGTTAAGGACGAAGGACGATTTAGTTAATTTTGGAAAATGTATGTATGTATATTGTTAAAATAAATTTTTTAAAAAATTGGACAAAATCTACAAATTAAATTTTAGAATAAAATTTATTAACTGTTATAATAATCTACTGCCAACAATAAAAATTAACGTCTTAAATAAAATTTCTTCTAAATTTATACTAGTATTTTGATCTAAGTTTGCTCCAATAATAAGCTATTGGTAGTGTGTTGTCTCGCTTCAATAGGTTTTGATCAGTGAGCCTAAAAAAATATGTAGACAAAATTTTAACATAAAATTTTAAGGAGGCAATCCAATTATTCAATAAAATAAAATGCTTTAAATTACCAAATTTAGAGAAGTAAACTAATGCATAATAGAATGTTGCTTTAAAAAAATCGAATCTTCTTAATACCTACCTAAAATTCGCTTTTCTTAAGCGATCTAAATATCTTTGAACAGCAACCGCTGGTAAAAAAATTTCAGTTAATGATCTTGGTACATGCTTGGATAACTGTCTTGATTTTTCTAAATGTTGATGAGCACATGTAGCTACTTCAAAGATACATTCTTCTACACCCTTGTCATCTACTTTATCCCTTAAAATTCTCTCTTGACTTACTCCATGTTTATTTAAAATTTCTTGTGGTATGCTAATTGCTTCTGAACGTTTTCTGAACGGTATACTTCGTATGAGATTGACAATTCCTTGAGCTTTTCCTAAGTGAGAAATCGCATGATCAACATTAATATCTTTAACACCATAAATTTCTAAAATAATGTAAAATATTGTGGACACTGTTTGTTCTGCATAATCTTCCAAATCTTTTATAGTAATAAATGACATATTAGAAGGTCGGTCTCTAGCAGTTACTAAACGTTTAAAATATATCTTAGACAATTTATGTTGATTTGTTGTCTAAAAAAGTAAAGCACAATCTATAAAATGAATCTACCGTAATAGTTTTTAAATTACATTTTTAATTTCTTTCAAAACAGGATGGTCCTCCACATAAGAAGATTTGTCATTAAAACATTTATCAATTGAGTCGAACCAAAATTTTAATTTCATTTTTGCAATAGCATCTTCACTGACTGTTGATCCAATTTTTGCAATTTCCACATTAAATGCTCTTACAGAAAAAACGTTTCTTCTTTTTTTGTCATCTAAAAGCAGAGTACAGAGAAAATTTTCATGATCATGTTTTCTAAAATAAAAAGAGACTTATTAAAACATTAATATGATCTCTTTTTTATTAATACATACTGCACTAAATTTAAGCAATAATTTTCACTAAATTTGTCGGTTTTATTTGTATTGCTACAGAACCTTTTAAGTCCAAGTGAAGGTAAATATTGTGAAACTGGTCGACAGTTTTTGGCTATCGACTGCAAAGTCATTCTTTAAATAAATTGTTAATAAATATATACTACCAAATTTAATCAGTTATATAATATATTTAATTAATAGATTTAGGAATCTATATTATATGTATATCATTTTATTACATCTTTTAGTGGAAATAGGTTTATTGTGATTCCACCGAACAGCTGATAAGATGACCAAAATTTTTATTTCGATAAAATCGACTCTCGAAATCAGTTTTAAATATATCATGTAAGATGTCTCTGTTCGGAAACGACATAATGGGTTGCGACAACCTAATTGTTTATTGATTAAACCGATTTTACATTTGCGCAATATTATTTTACATGGTATTTTGTAAAAAATATCTTAATAGGGCAACATTTTAATGAACACACATATTATTAATATGACATTATAAATAAAGTAATGTGCATTTATATAACAAGTCGTAAATACAATTTTATCGGTCGCTAGGGAACTGAAACATTTACGATTATATCTAAGGTTAAAGTCTGATGACAGTTTATATATCAGGCTGAAATTGTCTGAATAGGTTCAGACATTACGTCAAAATTCAATATTTTTGCAACCTGAATTGCCATCATTTAATTTTTAAAAAATCTGATAGTAAATCTGCATTTTATTAGTGATGAAAAGTATTTCTATTACTTGCAATCAGACAAAGTCTGATGTCAAACAGTTTTTATATACACGACTTTCAGCGGACTCATGTTAAATTTTAGAGTTTTTTGTATAATTAATTTAACATTACGGGAACATGTTCACCGAGAATACAAAATAAGAATTTTCAATCGCTAAGGCTTCCTTCCGCTTACAATTTACTGTTGTTTCCAAAAACTATTATCAATTTATATTTTTATTTATCTTAATATCTAAAAAAATAAGATTTTAGTTAACAAAAACTAAAATGCTGATTATACAGATATAGTTTCTATATAAGTTGAGTGTAACATGTCGCTCTATAAGAAATAGAAAAACCCTATTCTAAAAATTTAAGCTTCACATATTACATAATTTTTTCAAATAGAAATTGCTTAATAATAAACTTTTGGGGCAGTTTTCATATAAACAAAATGCTTTATTTCGTAATTTTGGCAATATCATTAAACTTTCTCCTCAATTTATTCTATATACATTTCTCGATAATTATGTAAGATGTTACAAGAAAAGTACTCAAAGGCGTCTCTAATTAATATTACAAGAATTGTCGTAAATAAACTATTCTTATGTTAGTACATGAATGTGTCAAACTTAAATTTCATCCGAAATCATTTTAAAAGTCAATGTTTGAAGGGTTAAATAAATATATAATATAATGGTGCTGCCAAACTCGAATATTTGACATTTTGTAAATAAGTTTGAGTTGCGCGTTGTTGATTTTTTATATATTTTATATAAAATTTCAGTCATATCCTAAGCGTTTACGAAAAAAGTTGTGAATTTAAGAAAAATAAAATTAAAAAAAAAAAACGAATTATAAAAATAAAATAGAAAATTTATTTAATATAATCAAAAATAATTTTTATTTTTTTTATATTTAACTAAATAATATAAATGTTTTAATAAATAAAACTATTTTCCAAATAAAGAAGTAAAACAAATTTAGTGAAGATTGAAAACGGAAAAGAAAGCCTCTTAATAGGGTAAATAAATAGGGTAACCTTTTAATTTGAAGGTTTGGAAAGTAAAGAAAATAAAAGAAAAGTAAAAAAATATTTGTGTGCATGTTCAATAAGAAAAAAATTAAATTAATTTCAGTTTTTGTGCAAAGAAAAAAATTTTGAATTATAAAAAAAATGAATGCTACAAAAAATATTAAAAACACATTTTGAAAATTATATTTTTATATAATTAATATAATAGATATTGATAAGTTCTTTTAAATATGAAAAAAAAGAAAAGTAAAACCGATAAAGAAAAATGCAAATTGAATTCCATTCCAAAAAGAAATAAATTTTAACAATAAAAAAAAAATTTCTTTTGACAAGTTGATGATGTGATGTTTTACGTTAAATTATGCTAGATTTGTATATATATATATGCAAAAGTTGTATAATTACAAAGTACATACATATTTATATGAAGTTTATTAAAATATGTATACGAAAACATAGGATTTTGATGGATTGAAAACTTAGTGAAATTTCATTTCACTTTGCTTGTGTTTTGATAAAAAAAATTTTACGGGGCAACGCCTCTTGTTTAACATTTTTTTGTTTGTAGTTTATTTAAATTTCAAATAAATTCAGAATCAATTCTTTTCCATTTTATGTTTTTCTCGTTTTTTTTTTGTAGGTTTTATGAGCATAGGCGAAGTACACTTATTGTACAATTTTGGACTTTTATTTATTGAAACATACATAATATAAACTTATGTACATATGTATGTACATGATACTTAGTTTGCTCGTTCTATTTGCGGAATGTTAACTAAATATTTTTGTTCCTATTTGTTAATCACCATGGGTTATTGTGTTAATTATAATTAATAAAATGATCTTATTTGTTCACCGTATTCAAGCCAATAATTGAAGTAATATACATATACATACAAAATATTTCACTTCCTTCCTTATACTGTTTTATAAGAATGTAAGAATGTTTGTAGTTATCAACAAATTTGAGCAATTTTTTAAATTTTGTTATGGAGGGTAAATAAATTTTTACAAAATATTCCTCGTAGTTATACCGAAGTATAAATGTCCTAAACCAATTAGATATTTTAAAAAAATATAAACTTGAAATAGTTTGAAATTCAACAAAAATGTTGTTTCCGATTATTAGGTACCTACTGTTTTATTAACATTATCTTTCTACGTTCATTGATAAGAATTTTGAATGTCCATTTTTATCTGCAATTGTCAGATTGGTAGGTATACATACCTATATTCATATTTTATATTGTATACATAAAAAAACGTGAACATATATATGCATACATATTATTGCGAGAGTGAGTATGTGTGTTGTTAACTTACAATACTTATTTGGTTAAAGTGATTTTTATTTATAGAAATTAATATGTATATAGTTAGGTACATATTATGTATTTATTTATTACGTGTGGATATTTTGGTATGTATAAATAATTGATGATGAATCATTATTTTTGTTAACCGATATTTTTTATATTGCAAATATAAATCAGTGAATTTCTAAATTTCGGGTTTTCACATTTTGTAAAATTTTATATATTTTTATTTTTATTTAACTTTACTTTACATTTGAAACCTGTATTCATTAATTAAATAATAAAAGTTATAGGGAAAAACGAATTTGATAATCTGCAAAGTTTATTCTAGCTAGCACACACGTGCAAATTCTATTTTATTATCTTAGGGACTAAAATAAAATAAAATATCCTTAATAACAACAAACTTTAATTTAATTTATTATTATTAGGTATAACTACCTACCTCTACATAGATAATATTCGCCTAAATGTTTCTCCATTTTCTACATATTATTTTTAGTTCATTTTTAATGTAATATTGTTTATTTCGTCCTTAAATCTTAATTTGTATATATGTATGTAGGTGGACCGACTTAATTTTACTTGAAAATCTATTTCATTTGAACATTAGTTTTTGGGTCTCCTGATAATTGTACACTTATGATGTTTTCTTTTAAAATTATACGTATCTCTTCCTTTTTATACAAATTTCTTATTTATGTCTACATAATATATATATAACTGCTTACTTATGTCTACGAGTATCATATTTAAATTATCATTATTTTCCTCACTTCTTATAATTGCCATATGTGTATTTTATTCTTATTAGAAAGAGTTAGGCATTTTATATAATATGTACACACGTAGGTATAATAATTATTTTTACATAAAATAATATATTTGTATACTTGATATTTATGTTAATATTTGATACTTATGTAGAATTAAAAATATATAAGGCAATTTATAAACTATATAGACTGTTCTACCGTTGGTAGGATACATTAATCTTGTGCTTGTGTTAGTGTATTTGTGATGACGTCATTTTTACTTTATAATTTGTAAATGTGTATCCATATAAATATACTTTATTATGACAATATTGTTGCAAGAAATACATATTTAATTCAACAAAAAGAGGTCAAATGGTAGTAAAATTTTAAATACATTAGGTATACATGACGTACATTATGTTGGAATTTGGTATAAACCTGAAAAAAACTAAATAAGTCAGTGTATGGTTATTTATACTTTTTCTTTTTGAAGGAGTAAAGTAAGGAATTTAGTTATCCTTTTTTTGAAATTAATAGAAAGATAATACTGAAATGTTCACAAAATAAGTGCAGGTGTCGCGTATATTCATTAAATATTTAATATCAAATAAAAAATTTGATTACGTACATTTACGAATATTATATTTTTTGAAACAAAAAAAGTTATAAATAACTACTGAGTAATAACATAATATGAATTTTTTAAAACTTCCAAATGGTTTGAGAATGAAAATAAATTATTAAGCAATGACATATGAAAGATGTCTTAGTAATACTTCGGAAATTTTCATTGATTATTCATTAGAGAAATAGTTTTATCCGGTTTTAATATTAATATTTTGGCATATACATTTGGAAATATTTTGATTTTTTTTTAAATAAAAATTTCGGGTCAGATCCTTGTGGAAACACAAGCTTTAATTATTTGTTGTTTAATAAAATTTGAACTTGTTTAGAGATACTAAAAATTGTGAAGTATCAGGAAGCTCACCTTCTTAAATTTAAACTTATATTATTATAACATTTTAAAACCTGTGGGTAGATCTATAATACATAGTATGATTGATAAGACATTTTCGATTAGGATAGGATAATTTGCACTATATTGAATAAGTATGCATGTTGAAGGATTATGTTGTTACGTATAACGCTCACATTAGCATAAGAAAAATAGCAATTTTAAATATTTAGTTAAAATTTAGTAAGTGTTATTTATATATGATTGTTTTTAAAAACTATCCTTTAATTTGTTGTTATAACATATGAAAACTTGTTGCAAAACTATAAAATTTATGATTTTACATAATTTATTTTTTATATTTTTCATCACATTATTATTATTTGTTTTACCCAAAGTTTAAATTTAACGTCTAGAGAAGTAGTAATTTTAATTTGATCGTAAAGTTTTTCCGCAACAAATGATGTTTGTTCTCAATTGTACAATTATTTACAAATATTTTTTATTTTTACAATCTCAATAATTGTTGTCGTAAAAAATATTCGTATTTAGTTCTTCCTAAATTTGAATAAATCGTAGTAAGTAGTTAAGATCTTACAAATTTAAGACATCTATACTTAATAACATTAGCTCTAATGACATATATTAACAAAAATTACATTACTTTATCTTTAATTATCATTTACCTGTAGTACTTTAAAACAATTAGAGGAAAAGATACCATATAACCTAAGAGTATACTACACTACACAGAAAATTGGTTGTCAAATCACAATTAAAATTAAAATAATTACTAAACTTAATTGTTTCGCCTTTCAATTTTGTTAAGAATTGCGGCAACTTTTCTCAGCAACTTAGTAAAGCCAAAAAAAAAAGAATTAAGCAAGAAAATACGGAAAATTTAAATTTTACAATGAAAAATATTTAGCCTTTTTGTTCTTCATGGAATATGTTCAGCAAAACATTCAATTAAAATAATTATTAACTATAATTAAACGAAAAATTCAAGATTTTGTTTCAAAAATACAAAAAAATTGAAGAAATGAGTAGTATGATTCACTCTTTTTGAGCTCATTTCTTATTTCGTGTTTAAAAAGTTTCCCGTATGATATAATCAAATGGTATACGGATTGCCGCTCCTTGACGGTTTAAAAATGAACTAAGTGATACTCCAGTAATTGCTTCCATTTATTTATCATTTTATTACAGCACTAAGACTTAATGTTGAACGAATTAGACGACATTTGGGCTAGTTTATCAAAACACGTTTTAACATTTGTTCGCATTTCACCCATGATATCTATAATTCCCTAAATTTTTTAATTGTTTATAAGTTTTTGCTTTATTGTAAAATTTATAAGGAATCAAAGCTCAACAAAGCTCACACTTATTTCAAATATGCAGAGCTAATTTACCGTTTTCTTTAAGAACTTAATTATTTAAATAAGTTAATCATCAAAAGCTTTATAATTTTTTGAACAATTATTTTCAACCAAGGCTAAGAACGAAAGTTAAGATATTACTTAATATAATAATAAAACTTCTTCTGGAAAAAAAAAAGGGATGAAGGGGGTGAAATAAAAATCTAAAATGTTCTTTGTTTACATTGAATTATGCAATAAAGCACTTCAGAACAATTGATATATGCATGTATGTATATATATACTTATATGTGTATGGATAAGTGTATTCAAAAGGCTAAATAGACAATTGAACATTGTTATAAAATTTAAAAGGGAAGCATGTATGCATGCCATTGTTCTATTGCATTATTCTATTATGTTGCACATAATGTGTCATTTTTTTTAGTATCATGTTGTTATGAAAACTTTTATGTTATCAAATAGATCTTTAGAAATATGATGTTGTTATGGGGTTGAAAAAATTGAAATAAGGATAAAAAAAATTATTGTTTTGCAAATAAAAGGATAATTTTTCTTTTTAATTTTGTTTCAA